TTGGCGATTCCTTCAGCTGTTGTTATGTGCTTTAGGGCTTTCCATTTAAAAGTGTATTTCACTATCTGCCCAAATAAAGTTCCTGGGCCTAAAAAAGTGATGTGGTGTTGGGGGCACTGACAGCCAAATTTCATTGAAAGCCTCTTCTGCCCTTGGTAATTGAGGAAGACTGGGAAGAAGGGAACAAAACTCAGACCTCATGTAGCTCCTCATTTAGCAAGACATTCAGTGCAAATTTAGAAAGTTGAAGACATAGAGTAATGTTGGTGTGGTTTTCTGTGGCATACTAAGGAGACAGCAGAAGATGGTCAGTGGTCAGTCTCCATCCAGCTGGTACCCATTGTCCATCAGTTAGGTCATAAGAAAAGATAAAAGACAACTTTTGTGACAAAGCCCCAAGGACTTCATTAAAACACTTTGCCCAGAAATTGGTCAACAGGGACATGACAAGTTTTTGTGTCAGAGCTACTATTTTTTGCCTGCTTTATGTAGAAATCTGAGAGATGTGCCCAGGGGCTGATTCTCCATCCAGGGGACAGCACTAACAGAGTTATGAGTTATGTGGTATTAGTCTGTCTGGGTCTTCCTAAGAAGACAACACGGAGTGGGTGGCTTAAGCAACAAATATTGATTTTCTTACAATTCTGAAGTCTGAATGTTGAAGATCAAGGTGCTGGCAGGGTTGGTTCTTGGTGTGGCTTCTTCCTGGCATGCACTGGGGCACCTTCTAATACACTGCGTCTCCACATGGCCTCTTCTCTGCGTGCACGTGAAAAGTGAGAGGTCTCTGGTGTCACTTCCTCTTCTTATAAAGACAGCACGTCTATTGCATTAGGTTCTCACACTTCTGACCACGTTTAACCTTAATTGTGTCATTAAAATTCCAATATAGATCAATTGAATTTAAGGTTTCAGCAAATGAATTTCAAAGAGGGCAGAATTCAGTTGATGACACAAATCAACAGATGGTGAAAAGCATTAGAATATATATATTATATATATATTATATATATAGAGAGGGCATATATATGGGAGGGCAGTGGTACGATCTCTGCTCACTGCAAGCTCCGCCTCCCGGGTTCATGCCATTCTCCTGCCTCAGCCTCCCAAGTAGCTGGGACTACAGGCGCCTGCCACCACGCCTGGCTAATGTTTTGTATTTTTAGTAGAGACGGGGTTTCATCATGCTAGCCAGGATGGTCTTGATCTCCTGACCTCGTGATCCGCCCGCCTCGGCCGCCCAAAGTGCCAGGATTACCGGTGTGAGCCAGCACGCCTGGCCAGAATATATATATTTTTAATCACTAAGGAATAATGGGCCATGCAGGAACTTGTAGGAAAGGTCCTAGTAATCGGTGAAACTTTAATTGTAAGAGGAAAATGTACCTTCCTCCTTTCTTTTCTGGCAGAAAAATGTGAGGAAGCAGAACCACAGATATCAAAGAAAGAGGAGCCCTGGGGACAGCTGAGGTGCTGGTGAGGAGGGAGAGCACTGAGCAGATGAGGAAGCCCCGCCCTCCCTGCACCTGCTCCTGACCCGGCCTCCTGCTCTGTGGGCCCCGCGCGCCCCCTGCTGGTCCTGAGCGGCACCTGCGCCCGCCCCCTCCGCCTCCCTGCAGGGAGGTTTGTGTCTGGGCTCACACCCACCTCCCCTCACTGTGTGTCTCGCACAGTAATACACGGCCGTGTCCGCGGCGGTCACAGAGCTCAGCTTCAGGGAGAACTGGTTCTTGGACGTGTCTGTTGAAATGGTGACTCGACTCTTGAGGGAGGGGTTGTAGTAGGTGCTACCACTACTACCACTGATATACCCAATCCACTCCAGCCCTTTCCCTGGGGGCTGGCGGATCCAGCTCCACCAGTTACTACTGCTGATAGAGCCACCAGAGACAGCGCATGTGAGGGACAGGGTCTCCGAAGGCTTCACCAGTCCTGGGCCCGACTCCTGCAGCTGCACCTGGGACAGGACCCCTGTGAACAGAGAGGCCCACAGTGAGCCCTGGGATCAGAGACAGCCTCCCTTATCGTCATATCTGCATCCCCGAGACACTCACATCTGGGAGCTGCCACCAGGAGGAGGAAGAACCACAGGTGCTTCATGTTCTTGCACAGGAGGTCCGTGACTCTCAGAGAACATTTCCCATGTGAGCTGGAGCCTGAATTTAAGGAAATGTGTGGTGGTTTCCTGTGGGTGCCTAAGTGAAGATTTGCATGTGGGTGGTGCCTTTGTATGGAGAGGTGAAAAGGGATGAGGGAGGCCCCAGTCTTTGGGGCTCACCCTGAGAGGAGGATGCTAGCTGTGCCCTCTGAGAACTCAGTTCTCTTCCTGGGGCCTCCCCTCACCAAGCCCAGAGTCCTCTTCTTCCAGGTAGGGAGATGTGCTGAAGGAGCTCGTCTGGGAGATGACTGTGATCATGGATCAAGGACAGATTTTGGAACAGGTTCAATACTGTTCTACCCGTAAAGATTTATATGAAACCAACCAAACATCCAGGTTATCTAAATTGTCAAATCTCCATTCAAAAACATTAGGGCAGCAGCTAAATATATTCGTCACAGTGAATTTATACAAACCTACATCCATGCAGTGTTTATTGTAATTCAGAATATCCATCATGGTTAGAGGGAATATATCCGTCCCAGAGAGTGCGTCATAAAAAAAAAAAAATTCTGAGACCTTCCCTTTTGTGAACGTTTGAAGTTTGGTATTCTGTCTGCAATCTCAGGAGAAGGTAGTGGGACGTATCTCCAACCATGTGAATGTGTGATGCTGAGAATATGGCCTGACGTTTATACATTTCTGTGTGAATAGATGTAGACTGGTGATCACAGTGACAATTTCAGTCAAAAACTATAATAGGTCAGCACAGGAGAATAGTCTCATCATAGATTAGTGCAATTGCCTTTCCTGGGAACAAGAGAGGACATCTGTGAGCCCTCCCCTCTGAGAGCACAAGGAACTCTGGTTCTTCCCTGACACGTCATACTTCTGAAACATGGCTGGACAATGACACTCAAGCCCAGAGTCATCACCCACATATTTATCGTGTCAGGTGCACCTGTGTCTGAAAGTCTTTCTCCTTCATTGAATTGAATGAACATACCTTAGAGTTTGCGGTATTGCAACTTGGGCATTTGACATTAGTTTGTTGAATTATATAATAAATAATCTATCTCCATGGATGTGGGTAACAGGAGAGTCATGAGAAGTTGGGTGTGTTTTAACATCAGGAGAAACCTGGGCTCTCTTGTTAGGACTGAACAAGTGAGCTGACCTGTGGGACAACAGAGGAAAAGACACAGAGCCAACATCCAGAGCCAGGTGAACTCCTTACCTACCAGGTGGTCTCAGGACATTTTGTTTAAACAGATCCAGAAAGACCTTCCTCACTTTCAGGAGAATCATGAACACTGAGAGAAATTGAGATAAATTTTTATTTACGGAGAATAATTCATAGGCTTGTAGATATCTATGTGGGTGTGTACAGGATTGCTAGGATATGCTCATACACAGAACAGAATAAATAATTCTATTTCATGGAAAGAAAACCAAAGAGCTTCTGAATTGGTAGGGATTCTTTACCACAAATGTGTCAGGTCACTAGGATCATGTTATGATGCTGGAGGTAACACTTCCCAGCATTGTCCTGGAGACAAAATGCAAAAGAGTAAAGATTCAAGTGAGATTCCTTTGAAAAATACAAGTAACGAACAGACCAAAACAATTGAACCGTTATGTAAAGAGTCCAAATGAAATGAAACAATAAATTCCATGTTGAGGTGACGGGGAAGTTCCATCTGACAGTTCATTTTCACCTTTATGGGTACCGAGTGCCCTCTGCAGCCCAGCTCCCACCCTGAAGGGAGGTTTCTGTCTGAGCTCTGTGAGTGAGCTGGAGTCATTGTGAGCCATTCAGAAAAGTAGTTGATTCTACTTCTTCAAATGGGAATTTAAACCATCAACTCCTCACCTTAGCCAGTCTATTTTTGTAACTGTGCATGACCCTTGGGAATGCAGTCACCATTTCTTTCATAATGAGAGTTGACTGTGCCATGAAGGTAACAGGAAGATGGGTAAATTTAAAGTCTGGGTACATAAACCGCTGGATTATCAAGGCCTGGAGCCAATCACATTCTGTCATCTTGCTTAATTAGCTGAGAATTTGTTTTCAGTTTTTTAGTTCAAGTTCCCGTTACTCACTTTCTGATAAAATAGTCACATACGATAATCTTGAGATATTAAAACGAAAAAAAATCACTAATTTCTAAACGAAACCAACTTCCAGGAGAGATGAAAATTCCTTTGTGGTGAATGGTGTGAAGGGTGTGAAGGGTGTGAAGGGTGGAGACATGGTTGAATACTGAGGTTGTGTTCACAATTGTATTATTTTAATTAGGGAACTTCTGTACGTCACTTATATTTATTAGAATCTGCCATTGAGAACCTTGATGTAACATAATTAATTAATGGGTCACACAAAAGCAATGAAGCTGAAGGTTATTGAGCAGGAATTGCTATTACAACTTTAGCTTTCCTTTAGAACACATTCCTCTACCTGATATGAAATTTGCCCAGGTGCACTGATGAGCGTTTTACAGTTAACCAAATATCAGGAAATGGGCACTCATGTATGTGGAGCAGGGCATGGCTTTGGGATGCTTTGCAAACAAAGTGGCTTCTCACATCTTCTGGAAAACCCATCAAAATGGGCAAGTTAGGGATCTCTTAGGAGCACCCGTCTATCCCACATTCAAGGCTAATATAACGGTGGAAGTTGATGCAAAATGAGATCACATGGAAGATAAAGAAACTGCTGCACCACTGCCTCAGCTCAGCACAGCTACCTCTTCCCTCAGGGCTTCTGACTCTCTCAGGTTGTGGGTTTTCACACTGTGTCTCTCTTACAGTAACGCACGGCCGTGTCCTCAGCCTTTAGGCTGCTGATCTGCAGATGCACTGTGCTGACAGAGGTGTCCATGGAGAAGACAAACCGTTCTGTTTAGCCCTGGGCATATATTGGGTTCCCAGTGTTGGTGTTCATCCATCCCATCCACTCAAGCCCTTCTCCAGGGACCTGTCTCACCCAATTCATACCATAGGTGGTAAAGCTGTAACCAGAAGCCTTGCAGAAAACCTTCACTGAGGCCACAGGCTGCTTTGCCTCAGGCCCAAACTGCACCAGCTGCACCTGGGAGTGGGCACCGGTGGAGAGAGAGGACACAGGATTGTGGGAAGTCTCACTTGACTGGCCTGGTTTCTCTGTCAGCCCTGGGACTGGGGAGCCCCTTAACTTTTGCTGCTGACACCAAGAAGAGGATCCTGTGGGTCCAGTCCACGGTAGGGTGTGGTCTCGAGGAGGGGTGTGGTTGTTGGGTGATGCTCTCAGGGCACAGAGTTATCTGTATTAGCCTCAGTGATTTGCATATTCTTGAAGGATGCTATTTAATAGCCCCATTCCTGACCCAGTATGAGAAAGAGCAAATACATGACACATGGACGACACAGTTGTAGAAGCTGGGGGCTCAAGCCGTAATCCTGTTAGAGGCCATGTGTCCCCTACACATCCCTGAACTCTATGTTGACAGAGCTTCCCCCACTGGAGAACAAGCTCCCCCAGGACATGCACCTCACTTTGAATCCACATTTGAATGAATCAGGGACAACTTGAACCATTTCTAGAACTTAATATGTGAATGCGTTATTTTGGGAATGAGTGTGTTTGTCCAAAAATTGCACTGATTTAAAAGAAAAGAGCTCTTCCTGACCTCCAGCTGCTTACTATTAAGATAACTAGCAGAGTTTGAAATCCCCATTGTGAAAGTGGTTCTCATTACAACATTCAGTTTGATAAATGCTCACAATTGAATGGAATATTTATACAAACATCAGAAGTCCTTGTGAAATACTTATATTAGATATTTTTAAAGGAAGTGCCGGGCCCTGAGAGGAACCCCTCCCCAGCCTGCTGTGCACCTGCTCTAGGGCGGGAGCCTGTGCTGGGTTTATCCTGAGTGCTCCCTGCAGCCCAGCTCCTACCCAGAAGGAGCGTTTCTGTCTGAACTTAGAGTGTATTCCAAGCCCGGTATAAAGTGGCTGTGCCCTGGCTCAGAATTCTCCTTTAGTGACACAACATGCTTCTCACACCATCATTTGAAATACTGAATTGGCCTTAGGAGACCCAGAGAACTGTACAGGGAGACCCGAAGAAAAGATCTCATGCATCACTGGGGAGCCCTTTCCTGGAGCTCCAGAGGCACTGAATCGTTTGACATACGGTGAACCCAAAAACTCTTCAGGGATTTGGCGGGGGGTTCTTATTTTCTTTAGGGTCCTGCAGTTGATTATTGCACCTGAGAATACCTGCAGGTGCAGGTGCACGTGGACAGAAGCCCAACTCAACTCTAGTATTCAAATCACACACACACACACACACACACACACACACACACACACACAGTGGCTCATTTTAACATTAATTGGCCCACTTTTTTCCTTTCTTTTCTGGTATCCATGTCAAGGAAAGCACTCCCTACACTGGCACAAAGGATGAGTATGTGTCTACTTTCTGCAAACAGAAGTAAAGAAAACAGAATACAAGTGGACACCTGGGAAGTGCATGTCCATTGAATTCAGCTGGTCTCACTTTTGAACCCTGCACACATGCCATGAAAAGTAAATGTGAGGCTAATGAGGGTGAAATCATTCCCTTGGTGCTGAAGTTGCTGTTGTCAGAGCCTTCAAATTGCTCTATTTTCCTGAACATTTTTTATCCTATTTTCCTCCTCAGATAGAGTTTGTGCATTGCCATACTCTCATATTTAATCCATATTGACTAAACTGGTGAGACGTAATGTGTGGAACACGGAAGCATTACATGTTCTTACAGATGAATCTTAATACTCTGGTGATCTTCTTTCTCTGGACTGTGCCCGATACAGGAAGTCTCCAGGTGTGAAGCTGATTTTTGCTCTTTTCTCGATGGAACATCACAGGAAAATTTTTGTAAATGTGCCCCTTTTGGCTAATTGTAGCCATTTTCATGATAAAGGGAGCCTGTAGGTATGGGTTTGTAATGGGGATGGATTACCTTTCCCCACATACATAAGGATGTAAAAATGGGTTGTCTGCCTGAAGAAGGTCTCGGTGTTTTATCAGAGATTTGGTCTCCTGGTAATACAACCATGCAGGGATCTAGGTGGATTCTCACCCTGAGAACCTGGATGTTCCTGGAGGAAAGGGCCATAAGAGTGTGGGGGGGGTGAGGCCCCCAGGATCTCTCATCCTCATGCTAGTCCAGACATGCTCTTTATGTTTATTTAGTTCAGATTTTCATATAACAAATCACACAGCCAGGCTCATTTAAATTATCCATATTCAGGCCATATGGGACCAGCAGCTGAGTATAATAATTACATTGAACTCAGACAAATCTGGTCCTAATCCAATGTTTACTGTAGCTCAGAACCCCTGTAATGACTCACTTAACTTGGAGATTATTTCTTCCTTGAAAGAACGGTAAGGGTTGCTGTGGAGCCTCTGTGGGGTTGGATTTTTTTGAATCAGCCTGTCATGCAGGCTATTCTGAGTGATGTAGACCTTTATACTTAGATGGCAATTATTCCTAGTGACACAGAAATGGCTGGCAGCCCTCAATTCTGGTAATTCCTTTGGTTCACCTGAGTGTCTACAAGTATCTGATGAACCTCAGAACTCTTCTTCATGGATGACTCTGAAGATTGTCAATCAACTCAGTGCCACAGACAGGCAGCTAATGGAGGATTCTCAGTCCTCTGCCACTGTGAGCATTTAGGTAAATTCCATGTGTGTGCTATTGTGAATAGTGCTGCAGTGAACCTACATGTTTATATTCCTTTAGGTGTCTGTCCGGCTGTGGGATTGTTGGGTCAAGTGAAACTTCGGTTTTAGGTTATTGGAGGGATCACCACACTGCTTTCCACAATGGTTGAACTAATTTATATTCCCACCAAAAGTGTATAAATGTTCCCTTTTTCTTGCAACCTTACCAGTATCTGTTACTACTTTTTTTTTTTTTTTTTTTTTTGAGACGGAGTCTCACGCTGTTGCCCAGGCTGGAGTGCAGTGGCGCGATCTCGGCTCACTGCAAGCTCCGCCTCCCGGGTTCCCGCCATTCTCCTGCCTCAGTCTCCTGAGTAGCTGGGACTACAAGCGCCCGCCACCGCGCCCGGCTAATTTTTTGTATTTTTAGTAGAGACGGGGTTTCACTGTGGTCTCGATCTCTTGACCTTGTGATCCGCCCGCCTCGGCCTCCCAAAGTGCTGGGATTACAGGCTTGAGCCACCGCGCCCGGCTTGTTACTACTTTTTTTAAGATTAGCCATTCTGACTGATGTGAGATGGTACCTCACTGTAGTTTTAATATGTATTTCTCCAATGATAGTGATATTCAGCGTGTTTTCCTATGCTATTTGGCCACATGTAGGTCTTTTTGTAAGTGTCTTTCCATGTCCTTTGACCACTTTTTCTTTCTTGTATGTTTGTTTATTTCCATGTATATTATAAATGTTAGACCTTTGTCAGATATATAGGTGGCAAATACTTTACTTCCCATTCTAGAGGTTGCCTGTTTACTCTGTTGATAGTATATCTTGCTATGCAGAAGCTCTTTAGTTTACTTGGTCCTATTTGTCAATTTTTGATTTTGTTAAAATTGCTTCTATCATTTTCAGAATAAAGTCTTTGCCAGTTCTTATGTACTAAATTGTATTGCCTAGGGTATTATCCAGACTTTCTATAGTCTTAGGTTTTACATTTAGATCTTTAACTCACATATTATTATTTTTTCAATTGATGCTGAAAAAGCATTTGATGAAACTCAACATCCTCTCAGGAAAAAAAAAAAAAAATTAAAAATGGGTATAGAAGAACACATCTCGACATAATAAAAAGTTGTGTTCCAGAGACTTTCAGGTAGTATTATAATGAATGAGAAATAACTAAAAGTCTTTTCTCTAAGATCTGGAACGTGACAAATTTCCCACTTTAACCACTGGTAAAGCGTAAATCTTCTGCTGCCCCATAGCCGGCTCTTACTCTGCACGCGCCACCTACTGGCCTGGTGTTCAAAACTGCATGACCTAATACAAAGCCGCTACCACCAGTGTACAGCAGGTGAAAATGAGATTAGCTTCTCAATACTTCTGTGATTCCAGCTCCGCAAAAGACCACGGGCCTGCTCACATGCTCCAGTATGTTACTACTAAAGCTGGAATTTGGAAAAGGCACAACACTAAAACTATTAATAACAAAATAAATCACACTGAGTAGATGCCCCTCACCTGGCCATTTCCATCAAGGCTGGTGTTTTGCTTGCCAGGCTGAATGGTTCATATTTGTCACCCTCTCAGGAGCTCAGCAGAGAACTCAGGTCACTGTGCATTTCGTAGACCAACCCATGCCTGAGGCAACGGAGAGCTTCTCCCTGTGCACAGATATCAAGCATGTACTCATCTGCTTCTGCCACAGTCAGCTCAAACCTGTAAGGCCACTACTAACGTGAAGGGTAAACCTTAACAACCCAATATAAATCTGCTGAAACAAATGCATCCCAAATGAGAAACAGTTCCTGAGGCCCTCCACTATCCAGACCTGCAGGAGGCAGTGAGCCTGCTCACAGGCCAGTACATTGTTTTACAACCATCATTTCAGAAAGCCACTAAATAATGACATCTATAGACAAGAAACAATTACAGAGTCTTTGCCACTGAGTAAAGCAAGAACCAGATAAAAAGACCCATCCAATATGCATGATATTCACATTCTAAAGGGAATGAAATTTTCATTAAAATCAAAATAAGTTCAAAAATAGTAAGAGATAGTTTAGCCAATGAAAAGCAAGCAGATAAGCAATTCTGGAAGTATGAAAAAGCAGAATTATAAGACCCCAGATATCACCTTAGCTCTCCAGCAATAGAATCTAAACAGCATGATATATTTGAAATCTCAGATAAGTAATTCAAAAATGTTTTTTAAAGAAGCTCAATTAAATCCAAAAGAGATTTGAGAACCAATACAAATAAATCAGAACCACTCAGGCCAGGCATTGTGGCTCATGCCTATAATCCTAGCACTTTGGGAGGCTGAGGAGGGGGGATCATGAGGTCAGAGGTTCTAGACCAGTCTGGCCGACATAGTGAAAAGCCATCCCTACTAAAAATACAAACCATTGGCTTGGTGTAGTGGTGTTTGCCTGTAATCCCTGCTACTCAGGAGGCTGAGGCAGAATTGCATTAAGCCAGGAGGCGGAGGTTGCAGTGAGCCAAAATCACACCATTGCACTCCTGTCCCAGCGACATTGCAAGACTCTGTGTCGAAAAACAACAACAACAAAAAAGCCAAAATCAGAACAATTCAAGATTTACTTAAGACTTTGATTTTTACAAAATAATCTTCAGGGAATAAAAACTTCATTGAATTATAATTAGAAAATACAGTTTAAAACTTTAACGATGGACTATACTAAACTGAAGAAAGAACATCAAACCTAACAGACAGATATTTCAAATTAACTCAGTCAGATAAAAGTGAACAAAATCATTGGGAAGTATAGGATTATGTAAAACAATTTAAACAGTGGATCGTGGATATTCCTGAGGGAGAAAATTAGTAAAAATTTTTAGAAGACCAAATTGATGAAATAATTGAGCAAAATATCCCTAGTCTTGCTAGAGATTTTCACATTCAGATAAAAGAAGTTCAGAAAACTCCATGACAAGACACTGGAAAACAGACATAACCAAGATCTATAGTCCTCAGACTATCTAAAGGAAATAGGAAGAAAAATATTCTAAAATTCACAAAAAAGTGTCCAATAATTTACTTCTCAACATAAACTTATAAGATAGAAAAGATTGAACTCTCAGTTTCAGATACTTAAGAAAAATAAAAGGAATAAAATTCTATGTCAATAATTCATTTTGTATCTTGCTAAACCAAGCCTCATAAATGAAGGAGAAACAAAGTATTTCTAAGGTAAGAAAATGCTAAGGATATTTATTTACACTAGACCAGAACTACAAGTAATGCTCAGGGAGTCCTAAATATGGAAGCCATAGGTCCAATACTCACCACCATACACAACACAAAATTATAAAATTCACTCATAAAACTATTACACAATAAGACTACAAAGCCATTAGTTAATAATTAACATGACAACAGGATCCAAACCTCACATATCACTATTAAGTTTGGATATAAATAAGTTAAATTCTTCACCTAAAATATATACACTGGTAGAAAGAATAAAAAAGAGTTTTGAAATTTATGCTGCTGACAGGAAACTCCCTTAATTGGTAAAAGCACATAGATTCCAGATCAAGAGGATGAAAAAAGATATTTCATGCAAATGGAAACCAAAAGCAAGCAAGAGTAGCTATGCTTATATCATATAAAACAAACTTTCAGTAAACACCAGTAATTAAAGACAAAGAAAGTCATTACATAATGATAAAATGATTGATTAAAATACCAATTCTAAATATATATGCGCTCTACACCAGAAAACCCATGTTCATAAAACAAATACTATTAGACCTAAGGAAGAACATAGATAACAATACAATAGTGATGGACTTCAATGCCCATCTGACAATCCTAGACAAATCATTGAGAAAGAAAATCAACAAGGAAACACTAGACTTAAATTGGACTCTAGACCAAATAAACCCAAAAGATATTAACAGAACATTCAATTCTGATGACTGCAGAATATACATTATTCCCATTAGCAAGGAATATTTTCTAAGATGCATTATATACTATGCCAGAAATAAAAGTCTCAACTTTTAAAAAATGAATTATCTTGTCAGACCACAGTAATATAAAGCTAGAAATCAAACCCTAGAAGAATACTCAAAACTACACACACACACACGAAAATTAAACATCCTGCTACTGAATGAAATTTGGGTCAACGATAAAATTAAAAAGGATATTGTAACATGCTTTGAAATGTATAAAAATAGAGAAACAGCATACCAAAACCTTTGCAGCAAAAACCTGTGCTGAGGGGGAAGATTATAGTGTTAAATGACCTCATCAAAAAGATCCAAAGATTACAAATTAACAACCTAACATTACATATCAAAGAATTAGAAAAACCCACAACAAACCAAACACACAGGAAGAAAACAAATAACAAAGACCAGAGCAGAATTAGATAAAGTTAAGAACCAAGAAATACAAAGAACCAACAAAATAAAACATTGGGCTTTTGAGATGATAAACAAAACTTACAGACCACTAGCTAGATTAGGCAAGTAAAGTAGACAGACAATTTAAATAAGCAGAATGAGAACAAAAAAGAAAAGATTACATCTGATGCCATAGAAATATAAATGATCAACATAGACTACTATGAACATCTCCAGGCTAACAAACTAGAAAATTTAGGGTGAACAGATCAATGTCTGAAAACATGCAATCTCCCAAGATTGAAACAGGAAGAAATAAAAATCCTGAAGAGACCAACAAAAATTAGTGATATTCAAGCAGTAATTTTAAAAAGTCTCAACAAAGAAGCCCTAAAACAGATGATTTTAAATGGTGAATTCTGCCCAATATACAAAAACATCTGCTAGCAATTCTACTCAAACTTTTTCAAAAAATTGAGTAGAGGGTGTTTCTCCCTAACTCATTCCACAAAGCCACTAACAGCCTGATACCACATCAATGCCAGGACCCAAAAAGGAATACTACAGATCAATATCACTGATGACTATAGATGTAAAAGTCCTCAACAAGACACAAGAAAATTGAATCCAATCACATATCAAAAAGATAAAATGCCACAATCTACTAAGTTTTGTTTCAGGGATGCAAGGATGGCTCAACATTCATGTATCAATAACTGTGATCCACCACATAAACAAAATGCAAAACAAAGAAACATATAATCATGTCAATAGGTCCAAAAAAAAGCAGTTGATAACATTTAGGATTTCATTATGATAAAAACCCTCAACAAAATTAGAATAGAAGGAAAACATACCTCAAATGAATAGAAACTATATATGACAAACTCACATACAACATTATACTGAATAGGAATATGTTGAAAGCATTCCTCCTAAGACTCAGAACATGTCAAGGATGCCTACTTTCACCACTTAATCAATATAGAACTTGAAATCCTGGCCAGAGTAGTCAGGCAAGAGAAAGAAATAAAGACAGCCAAATTGGAAAAGAGAAAGTCAAATTACTTTGTGTTTACTGTTAATATGATTTTATACTTAAAAAACTAATATTCTTAGAAATACTCCTAGAGTTGATGTATTAATTCAGCAAAGTTTTAAAATGATGGAAAAAACATACAAAAGACAGTACTATGTTTATACACACGTAACAAGCAGAGAACCATAGATGCATAGAACAGGATAGACATTCCAGAAATAAAGTCATATGCCTGCGGCCAACTGACTGTGACCAACTAGACAAAAAGCACATCCTGGGAAAAGGTCACCTTGTTCAATAAATAGTGCAGGAAAAACTGAAAGGCTATTTGCAGAAGAATAAAACTGGACCCATATCTCTCACTATGTGCAAAAGTTAAGCCAAAACCTATAAAAGACTTAACTGGGAGACCTGAGAGTCGACGGTTGTAGATGAAATCCTAGGAAATGTTTTTCTGGACATTGTCCTAGGCAAAGAATTCATGACTACAACTTTAAAAGTAAACAGAACTTAAATCAAAATAGGCAATTTAGGCTTCATACAAATAAGAAGCAAAGTTTGTGCTCAGCAAAATAAAAAATCAACAAAGTTAACAGAAAACCTACAGAATGATGAAAAATATTTGTAAACACTACGTCTGACAAAGAGCTAATATTTGTAATGTGCAAGAAACAAAAACAACACAAGAAAACACAAATAACCTCATTTAAAAGAGCAAATAACAGACATTTATTTTTCAAAACAGGACGTAAAAATCATCCACCAGCATACGAAAAAACAATCAATGGCATTAATCATCACAGAAATGCAATTTAAATTCACAATGAGAAACCATATTAAACCAGTCAGACTAGCTATTATTAAAAAGTTAAAAATAAAAACTAAATTGAACAAAAAACAGATGTTGGTGAGGATACAGAGAAACAGTAGTGCATATACACTGTTGGAGAAAATGTAAATTAGTACAAGCTATATGGAAAACAGTATGGAAACTACTCAGAGAACTAATAATCGAACTAATATTTGATTCCGCAACTCCACTACTTGGTATTGGCTCAAAGGAAAATAAATTTTATATTAGACAGATGCCTGCATTTATTTTTATTGTTGTGTTATTCAGAGTAGCACATATATGGTACCAAACTTAGTGTCTATTTATTATGATTAGATAAGGAAAACATGTTGTATATGTATATGTGCCTATATATACACACTTACCCTCGCAAATACACTATATACAAACTCGTGATTAAACTCGTACCGCATGTTCCAAGGCTGCAGACATCCACAGACACTGCTATCAGGTGGAATATTTTATGGACTTGGACACCTCATTCCAGGAGGTAAGAGAGAGCCATAAATGAAGAAAAGTTTTCTTTTGATTTTTTTAGTTATTTACTTTTTTAGGAACGCACAGGGTTTGACCAATTCAGGCCTGCTGAGTTAACTCACTGCTGTACACAAATCCCGATGCGATGGACTGTGGATGGTTAGGCTCAGCAGAGAGGGTAGAGGTGGCCGAGTTAGGACCACAGGGAGGAGCTGAGGGACTGTAGGAGGAAAGTCGAGAGGCTCTAGAGGGACCCATGAGTGTGCCTGAGCTGTGAGTTGAACCAAAACTGTTGTGTTTCCCAGAAGCCCAAGAAAATGGTGCTAGAGTGAAGGGTGTGGGGAAGGGGCGGTAAATAGGCCGTGGATGGGTGCAGGAGGGGAAGGGAGCTAAAGGTGTTAGGAACCAGGAAGGAGAGCCAGGGATCTGGGCATTCCTTAAAGAAGTAGGTTCAGAAATAAGCTGTCAAATGCCTCCAGCCTGGGCTTCCATCCGTTTGTCAAAGATAAATTCTAGGCAAGTTTCGCATCTGACAAATACCACAGAGTGAGGAAGGGATGGAGGTGTTGCTAGGAGAGAACACCCTGGACATGGCAGCAGCCCATCCTTTTCCTCACATGGCCCTGCCTGTCCTTTATCATCACAGATCAGAGGTTCTGATCCTTGTCCTGTGGTGAAAAAAAACATCCTGTTCTTAGAATCCTAAGACCTCCAGACACATGTGGGTGGTTCAGTCTACCATAAATCTGGCATTTCCAAACAAGTCCTCTATCTGCCTTTCATCAGTGTGATCATGAAGCTTCAGGGTAAGTGAAACACGTCGGTCACTAAACAGCAAAAAGAAAAACAAACGGCCTATTTACCCATGTTGGGATGACTCCCAGGTTTCAGAAGCAAAGAATTGGACAGAAAAGCAAAAGTGTTAGTTCTCAGGACTTCTGGACACCACACATGGAAAATGAAACTCACACATACACACATGATAGTAAAATGGACCATCGCACTTATCTTATTTTTTTGAGGTTCCCTGAGCAATTAGGAAGCACTAATGGTAGATTTATCAAAGAAAAAACATCAAGTAAAGACACTTGTTCCAGCACAGTAAGGAAGACTTTATCCAGGGTCTACATGGTAGGTGTAGGGACCGGGGCAATGGTGTTTTGCTGTAGGGAGAGAGATTCAGCTGAACTCCAAATGCAGAATGGGAACGTGAGGATTTACAACCAAGCAGCAGGGTAGGGTCCGGAAGATGGAAAATTACTAAGCGGAAACATCAGGCGCGTGGCCAAATCTCCTTAAACCAACCTGCCAGGATTCTTGTTGATGTTGGTCCAGGGTGATTCAACGTCACCGAGGTACGGTGAAGGGCAAGGAACCTGATCAGACACCCAGGAAAATCAGACATGGAGGATGGGAAATCTGACTAAACCAACACACCGGAATTCCAGGTAAAATGGAATTTCACATGAAGATCAGAGAGAGGGGGGGATAAGAAGTTTCAGGAGCCTCCTAACTTCTGTGGAGGCAAATGAGCTACATCAGGTGGAGACCCATCAATGGTGGCACTTTCTGCTGAACAAACTCACAACTGAGTGAAATGAGAACAATTCGGCACAACAATGTAAATTCAACCATTTCCTGAATTTCTGGAGATTGTGAGTGGCAGAATGAGCTGAGGTGTGATAGCTCAGGGGGTGTCCTAATTCTGAACCCACAATTAGTTCTAAGCAGTGTTCACTGACAAAAGAACAGCTCGAGGTTCATACAGGCACCAACACCTGACTCCATGAATCTGCAACCGGGGGTCTCTGCAGGCTCCGAGGTGCACAGGACAGATCCCACCTCAGAGTCAGCCTCAGGTAATTATCTGCTCTTCCTGTGGGGAGCAGAGGAACAGTGCAGAAGGAGAGTCAGCTGTATTCTACTCAGGATCTCTGCACATGGAGGAAAACAATGAAAGGGGGAATCACACATCCTCAACACGTCACAATTCCACATGAGAAAGGCAATTCTGTTCCAGGACATTCTGTGGAATCAAGGAATAAAGCAATTGGGACAAATTAGAAATCACCATTGTTTACAGACTGCATGTTTGTTTCTATGTCATCCACAGAAATGAATTAAAAGCCTGTGTTCTGTATAGAACCCACACCATGTGGGCCCTGAGTCAGCACCTCCCTCCCTCCACCTTCAGGGAGCACAATGCACCTGACCCAGGTGCCCAGGGCTGCACTCTGTCTTCCATGCCATGGCTGGTGCTGGAGCCACATCCTGGGCTCCACTCTCAGGAGAAGAACGAGCTCTGCGCTGATCTGAGCAGAGCCACTGCTGGGAGTCACTGGGTCCCCGATGGGAAACTTTGACACGACTCTGACTCAGTGCCCTTGCTGGACCTTCTAGAACAGCACAGAAGTTTAAGAAAGTTCCTCCCAGTCCTCCTCCCTCTCTCCTTCACTCAGGGACTAACTTCCCTCCCATGCCTTCAGATTCCCCAGCCTCCTTCCACTCCCTCTGCATTTCCTCTCAAATGCGTGGACGGGTTCCTTAAGACACTGTACACAAACGTAACCCAGTCATAGAATGTGCTTCTCTGAAGACCAACACTAACACACATATTTTGGCAAAGCTGTTTATAATACCAGCCAGATTCTATTGACAAATATGAACTGACCACAGCAATCACCAGACACGTAAGTGTCTCCTTGGTTAGAACACAGTCTCAATTATTAAATGAGACTCGAATCTAGGTGTTGCTCTGATGATTTCATAAGGTGTTATTCAAACCTGCCATCCAGTTTCCTGAGCTAGGAAGATAGTACTAGTTATCCTGGGTGATCCTGATTTAATTCTAGCAGAACAAAAGACAACAAAATTCCCTGATGGATGGCAGGTGCGCCTCTTTCCAAGAATTTCAGCCTGTCCTTCCTGAAGGCCGGCCCTAGACACACCTATATAGAAGACACAATTGCTGTCAGCCCTCGACACACCTAGACAGAAGACACAATTGCTGTCACCAAGAAATCCTACACACTGGAGTGTCCACGATCAGCTCCCCCAAAGTCACAGATGAGGAAGGTGACACAGGCAGTCTCAGTAGATCCAAATCACAGATCTAGACAGGGTTCCTGGGGAAACTGTTAGATGGAGAAATTGCTAAGACTCTGAAAGGAAACCAGCCCTTAACCTTCCTGAGCAACTTGCCCCAGAACAAACCCTGTGCTCAGTGGGTCTTGAGTGCCGTCTGCAGCCCTGGCCCCTCCTGTCTTCCTGCAGGGACGTTTTTGTCTGGGCTCTCACTGACTTCCCCTCACCGTGTCTCTCGCACAGTAATACAAGGCGGTGTCCTCAGCTCTCAGGCTGCCCATTTGCAGATACAGGGAGTTCTTGGCGTTGTCTCTGGAGATGGTGAATCGGCCCTTCACGGAGTCTGCATAGCCTGTGCTACCACCATCCCAACTAATAGCAGAGACCCACTCCAGACCCTTCCCTGGAGCTTGGCGGACCCAGCCCATGGCATAATCATCAAAGGTGAATCCAGAGGCTGCACACGAGAGTCTCAGGGACCCCCCAGGCTGTACCACGCCTCCCCCAGACTCCACCAGCTGCACTTCACACTGGACACCTGCAAACAGAGATACACCCTGGTCAGAAACTGCCACACAGATCCACTGTTTCTCTCACTCATATTCACTCACACTCAACATCTCTATTTCTCCATGAATCACCTTTTAAAATAGCAACAAGGAAAACCCAGCTCAGTCCAAACTCCACGGTGAGTTTTGTGTTCAGTGCTGATCACCGAATGGAAACACCTGGGAATCCCGGGGCTGGGGCTCCTCTCCCAGGGCTGCAGGGTCAGGGCTAGGTTAGTTTTCATATAAGCAGAGGGAGGACCCTATTTGCATGTCTCCTACTATATAATGAGTTCTGTAAGGGATGCATCACAGTGCACTGTGCCCAAGAGTGGATGTGGGTGATTATACTTCATAAGTAATTAATTCTCATTAGCCGTCATACTTTTACATGCACATGAAATATGTTCTTTGGGAGTCAATGCTTCCTTCATTTACAGATGTGAATGTAAACCCCCAAGTATGGAGGGGCCATGTGACATGTCTAAGAGCTCACATCTGGTGAGAGCCAGTCTCAGTGTCTGGCCTACGTTTCTCACAATTGGATCCAACTGTTCCCTAAATTAACTCTAGGAAAGAGCTAGAAATTCCAAGTGAGGTTTACAAAACAATCTTCTTATAATGATACTGTGATATTATTTGGCTGTATCTTGGTGTCTTTCTAAGTAATGTAGAAAAACTGAGGGTTAATTCATGTGAGTATTCAGGAGTTCATGACTTTTCTTGTATTATTTTTATTTCTCTCCTCATCTCCTACCACATTAGACTTTTATTTTTAATAGTTTTAATGAGGGAATACTGATAGTCTTCACATAGTATGTTCACCATTTGACAGACATTGACCTAATCACCATTCACAGAGAAAACAAATCAATTCGCCTCTCAATTTTCTCTTTGTCTCCCGGAATTCCTCCTTCCTATACCTTCACTTCTCTTACCATGGAGAAGTCAGTTAGTGATCTTTGTTATGTAACTTCCGATGAGTATTCACTTTGTACAGTTTATAAAACGGAATCATATGTATGTGCTTTGGCGCATTATACTCATCGCATGTACTTGTGAATTGAACCATGCTGTTGATCGGATCCAACATTAACTGATTGCAGTAGTGGGTACTATTCCAATGAACGACTTTTCCACAATTTGTTTACTGATAAAGGTGCTGATTGGTATTTGGATTGATTTGAGTTTCTGTGTATTTGAAATAAAGCTGCTCCTCAGCTTGGAGGAGTACACAGCAGAGAAACATGTTCTAGATCCTACAGCAACATGAACAGCAGCTAAAGTGGTCAAGTTGCAAATGAATCAATAGTCTGTAATACCTCAGGTAATTAATCTTACGGCACCCCGTGCGTATGTCAATGTGTGAGAGAGAAAGAAAGAAAGAGGGAGGAAAGGAGACTGAAAATAAAGTGATTCTACGTAAGTATTAATTCGTGAGGTCCTCAAATGCATGGACTGATTCCTAATGAACAGAGTCCACATAGGTTGAAGAGGGTAACTTGATGCACCCACATATGGCTATAGATTCATAATATAAATGTTATTCTCTAAACACATAAACACTCATACACATTAGAATAGATGTAGTGTCTAGTGGTGGAATGAGAAGGTGACACTAAAACCTGTCTTCAGGCCTTTCCCCACCTGCTACACCTGCTCTGAGGATGACCCTTGAGCCTGCCTGACCACTGAGCCCCACAGTGGTCCTGAGACCTCATGCGGTGCTATGTGCCCCCTGGGTTTCCCTGCTGGTTCCTGGGTGCTGGCTTCTGTCCTCAGCACCCTCTGCTGTCTTGTAAACCCCAACAGGAAGGTTTGTGTGTGGGCTCACACTGATGTCTCCTCACTGTGTCTTTTGCTTAAAAATACTTGTTTGTGGCTGGGCACAGTGGCTCACACCTGAAATCCCAGCACTTTTGGAGGCCAAGGCAGGTGGATCACAAGGTCAGGAGTTCAAGACCAGCCTGGCCAGCATAGTGAAAACCATTCTCTACCAAAAATACAAAAATTAGCCTAGTGTGGTGATGGGTGCCTGCGGTCCCAGCTTCTTGGAGGCTGAGGCTGGATAATCGTTTGAACCCACGATGTGGAGGTTGTATTGAACGAAGATTATCCCACTGCACTCCAGCCTGGGTGACACAGCAAGACTCTATCTGAAAAACAAACAAACAAACATGGTTTTGTACTTGTTGCTCCTGTAGCTCAGCCATAGGAAGAACTGTTTTTGAACATAGATCTAGAGGTGGTGACTGGACTCTTGAGGAGTGGGTTGGAATTTGTGCTCCCTTCATAACCTGTGCACCTGACCCACTCCAGTCCCTTCCCTGGGGGCTGATGGATCCAGCTCCAGGAGGAAGTCCTGGTTCTGTTGTGGAATCCAGCGTTTAAACCGAGATGTTATTGTTGTTGATTCACTAAACAAAATGTGGCACTCATTTTTATTGTGTTAAGATACACGTAACATAAAATTTACCATTTTAGCTCTTGGTATAATGGTAATAGCCAGTGATACTTTACGTATTCGCAATGCTGTGCAAGTATCACCACTATTTGGTTTTGGAACATTTTCCTCACCAAAAAGGAAACCTCATTTCCATTAAGCAGTCACTCTGTTTCCCCTCCACTCACCTCCTGAGATCCGTCTCTTGGGGATTTCCTGCTCTCCATACTTCATATCCATGAGACAATTTGGGATGCAGACTTCTGTGTCTACCTCAGTTCACTCAGTCAATGTTTTCAAAGTTCATCCAAGTTGCAGCCTATGTCAGTGCTTCACTCCTCTTTAAAGCTGGTTTACAGCCACACAGACACACCACAGCATCTTCACCCGTGTGGGTTACAGACACACAGACACACTGCAGCTTCTTCATCCCTGTGGGTTACAGACATGCAGACACACCGTAGGATCTTCATCCCTGTGGGTTAGAAACACACAGACACACTGCAATGTCTTTATCCCTGTGGCAGTCGATGGGTACTTGAGCTGTATTCTCCATTTAACTACTGTGAATGGTGACACCAGGTACATTTTTGTATGAGGTTTTCCGTGAAGACCATTTTCCAAAGTAGCTGTCCCATTTCAATACCAACCAGCAACCATGACCATTCCAAATTCAATGTGTCTTTGCCTACAAGTGATTATGTTTTTCTGTTCATTTTTGAAAACTGGTTATCTTAGTGTGTGTAACGTGGTAATCTGTAGGGAACTTAAATCATCAGTATAAACTAGATAACCCTATTAAAAATGGGGAAAGGACATGCACAGAAGCTTCTCAAACACTGATATACAAGTGAATAAGTAACATATAAAAATGCACAGCATCATCAATCGTGAGATAAGTGCAAATCAAAACCAAAGGAGATACTATCTGACACCTGTCAGAATTACTATCACTAAAAGATCAGAAATTAACAGATGCAGGCAAAGCTATAGAGAAAAGGGAACACTTACATACTTTTGGTGAAAATGTGACTTGCTCCAAGCACTGTGGCCATCAGTCTGGAGATTACATGAATAAATTAAAGCAGAACTACCATTCCCCTCAGCAATCTCATTACTGGGTATATGTCCAAGAAAAAACAAATTATTGTAACAAAAAGACACGTCCACTCATGTGTGTTTCACTGCACAGTTCACAGTACCACAGACATGGAATCAACCTATATGCCCATCGGTTATAGACTAGATAAAAAACATGGTACTTATACACAGTGCAATACTATGCAGCTGTAAAAAAGAATGAAATCCTGTTTTTGCAGCAAATTGGGTGGAGCTGGAGACCACAAGTCTAAGCAAACTGCCATAGCAACAGATGATAAGAGTCAATGGGAGGGGAAATGGACATTTTGGGTGTTGCTCTGTGTAAAATTGAGGAAACAAATCCCCTGGGTACATGAACTCTTGAAATAGACAAGCCTGAAGACACTCATGTCCTGACTTTCATATCATTAGGTTGTGCTTTTCTCATTTATAGTCAGTTATCATTGCTTTCCTTCACTCTTGGCTAAAATAGCCACACATTATAATCTAGAGACATTAAAATAAAAAATAACATATCTGAACATTAAACCAAATGCTAACTGTTAGGTCAAAGTTAGTGTGGATTCAGTGTGATAGCCAGGAGACTTGGCTGAATACGAGCAGTGAGCTCACAGCAATGTTATCTAAACTAGGAAAGTTTGTTTACATCTTTTAGATTAGATTCCCATGAAAATCCTTGATCTAATATCATCTCTGATGAATCATACGTCAGTAACAGAACTGGGGGTTATGTACTCAAATGAGTAGTGCGTTCAGAGTGTGTTCTTCCACCTGATGTAAAGTCAGCCCACGTGACAGAAGTTATTGTGGTCAACAGAGCTCGTCAATAAGCCAAAGCAAGGATTAAGTACATGTTTTAGAGGAGTGCCTGACTTTGGGATGCTCTTCACACAAAGAAGCTTCTCACATCTTCTGGAACATGTAAAAATTCTCAACAAAAGAATAAATTTCAGATGCACGGCTACATTTTAGGAACCTGACAAATGTAACTTAGAAAGTAAAATCCTAAAGGAAACTGAAATGGCAAAACAACTAAAAGAATACGTATTGTAGTGGATCATCACACCAAACAGTCTTGTTTATAATACTATCTAAACTCAGAAGTCATCAGCATTACTCATGTAACTCAGCATCTGTCCCATCCACAATCTTCTGAAGACGTTGAAGAAAATTGTCATCCTTGAACTAACATTGTCAAAACCTTAAGAAAATCTTGAACTTACTTGGCCAAACGTTCTCTCCCTAGCATCAGAGCATTATAGTCAAGTCCCTCAGGGAGACTTCAGTTATTAGCCTATGGTTTGGTAGCTGGAAGACACATACACTTAGAAATTTACCCCCAGTGCTCTCCTCTTCCTAGTACATGCACACATGACAAAGTATTGAAAGTGATGACTGTATTTTACACACTCCATTCATCAACAGATTAAAGCTACCATTTTCCTACATCTTTTCAATAGCCTCTAATGACATTAAAAAAAGGAATTATATCTATTGGAAGAAACATCAGGGTGGAATACTGCTCTTGAACTACTTTGGAAGAAATCTTACCAGGTGATTTCAACCACAACCCAGCAGTGAATTTGCACAATGTCAATACTTGGGTTCATATTGATGAACTGTAAACTAAAAATAAAATCCTAAGTGCCCCAACTGACTAAATAGTCCATCTGTTTGTCTAAGGGACTCCAGAAGAGCCTA